TCAGATCCTCCGATGTCCCTTTTCCACCTTCGCGATTTTGCTTCTCCGATTCTTCTGATTGTTCCGTTCCAAGGGTTTGTGCCAACAGGAAGAATCTTGGGCCCAATATGGACCTTTATTTTGATTTATTGGGCCCAACTTGGTGGGCTTCCTCAGCTAGTATGTGTTGTAATTTATTTGGCCTAATTGGCCCAATATGGTCCTTTGTCCTGATAACATATGTAATTTATTGGGGCCTCCGTCTGATATTATGCGACCATAATTTGGGCCTCTTCGTATGTATGCATGCATATATCGATGGAAAAGCTACGTAAGTTTGTTTATATATAAACATATGGGTGCCATTAAAAGTCAGATATACTTATGTCACTCTCCGCTCCATCTATAACTGGGCCATGATAAGCACGTCATTTACATAAAACTGGGCCACCTTTCTTGAGAAATTTCCAATAGAAAAAACAAAAGTTGGTACTCGGTAATATTCGTGATTCATCATCTACATGTATCCACACGTGTTTCCATACAAAAGAAATGTAGATGGAGAGTTATATAAACAAATCTGATTTATAAACTGATGCAACATTGGATTCCAATTTCCAGATATTTAATTTATAATTTGTGGGTAGAAAGAAGAATAAATAAATACAAAAACCACAAACGAGCTTTTATGAGCATATGTTATTAATAATATCGTCGCATGTTTGAAAGCAGCACAAAATTTACAGTACATTACCTTGTGACACATTTGATCTCAACAAACACTGTCTTTCGCTTTTCTTAAACCCCAACCGCAACAAAAAAGGGCCATTTTTAGGAAATCAAATCGGCGGCGCGTTTATGGCCGACCAATCAGCTACTCCGCCGCCTCCGGAAGCGGCGACCCAGGAACCACCCGTCCTAGCTCCGCCGCAGGATTCCGATTCTCGTCCCCAAGTGGTGGCCCGGCTGTCGGGAACTGAAGCTACGGCGGAAGCGGCCGACCTTGTGACACATTTGATCTCAACAAACACTGTCTTTCGCTTTTCTTAAACCCCAACCGCAACAAAAAAGGGCCATTTTTAGGAAATCAAATCGGCGGCGCGTTTATGGCCGACCAATCAGCTACTCCGCCGCCTCCGGAAGCGGCGACCCAGGAACCACCCGTCCTAGCTCCGCCGCAGGATTCCGATTCTCGTCCCCAAGTGGTGGCCCGGCTGTCGGAAACTGAAGCTACGGCGAAAGCGGCTGAGACATCGCCGCCGCAGACGATGGAATCGACGGCGGACGTTTCGACAGGAGCGGCGGTGAAGAAAGAGGAGCACGGCGGAGAGGCTGCAGTGAAGGAACCTCCGGCGGGCGTCGACGAAGAGAAACAGAACATGATTCCTGAGAATCTGGGGTCTTTCAAGGAAGAAAGCAGCAAGCTTTCGGATCTGTCTGAATCCGAGAGAAAATTTCTGGTTGAACTGAAACAGCTCGTGAAAGATGCTCTGAACAATCACCAGTTCGGGTCAAGCACAAAGCCCGAAGACGGCGCACCAGAAGAAATCTTCATTTGGGGAATCCCTCTGCTCGAAGACGAACGGAGCGACGTCGTCTTGCTCAAATTTCTGCGAGCGAGGGATTTCAAGGTGAAGGATTCCTTCACGATGCTCAAGAACACGATCCAGTGGCGAAGAGACTTCATGATCGACGAACTCGTCGAGGAAGACATCGTCGACGATCTGGACAAGGTTGTGTTCATGCACGGACACGACCGTGAAGGTCACCCCGTGTGTTACAACGTGTACGGAGAATTCCAGAACAAGGAGCTTTACCACAAGACATTCGCTGATGAGGAAAAGAGGAAAAAATTCTTGAGGACGAGGATTCAGTTCTTGGAGAAGAGTATAAGGAAGCTCGATTTCAGCTCAGGAGCAGTTTCCACTATTTTTCAGGTCAATGACATGAAAAACTCTCCGGGATTGGGGAAGACAGAGCTTAGATCGGCGACAAAGAAAGCTGTTCAGTTGCTTCAGGACAACTATCCTGAGTTTGTCTTCAAACAGGTACAATCTGATGGGATGGTGCATTGTTCTTGTGATTTGATGGTTTCTCTCCTGCCATTTTCATTCATAGATTACTTAGAACTAAGACACCCAGCTGTTTTTGAAGGTCTTTATCAATGTTCCATGGTGGTACCTTGCGTTTTACACGATGATCAGCCCGTTCATGACTCCAAGATCAAAGAGCAAGCTTGTGTTTGCTGGTCCATCGAGATCAGCTGAAACCCTTTTCAAGTAAGCGAAAGATTCTTCAAGAACTGCTTTCTGTGTCTTAACCTTTCTCTGATTCAGACATCTTCTGGTTTTGATGGTGGGATTAGATACATATCGCCAGAGCAAGTCTTAACCCAGACTTCACCATGTCTGATCCAGCCACCGAGATCACTGTCAAGCCAGGAACTAAGCAAACGGTGGAGATTATAATCTACGAGGTTTGTTCATTTCCTCGGAACTCTTTGCATCTTTTACACATGATGTTAGAGGAAATTACATCAAGTTAAAAGAGTGTCACTCAACTCTGTCTAGAGACATGAGTTCGAACTTCCTGTATTGGTTATTCAGATCGATCATCATAGCCCTCAGGTCCATGTCTCTGGAAGAACACAAATACCCTTTTGGATAGAAGATCCCGACACTAAGAAAGATTTTGACTTTGATTAGGTTTAGAATCAGACGACCGATATGTGTTCACAAATACTCCTTTTTTTCGTCTCAATGATCTATGTAAAGGATCTAGGGGCATAACATTTTTCATGTTTCCACAAGATCGTATCAGAGAGATATACAAATATCTCATATATCTACGCAGTTTGATTGTCTATGCATTGTCCAAATACTGTGGTATAAACCCATATGAAACTAATTATAAAAACTGTTGTGGCCGTGAAGCAGAAATGTGTGATAGTGTGGGAGATGAGAGTGGTGGGGTGGGAGGTGAGTTACACGGCCGAGTTCGTGCCAGAGGACAGAGAAGGTTACACGGTGGTCATTCATAAGCCGAGGAAGATGGTTCCATCTGACGAGCCACTCATTAGCCATAGCTTCAAGGTCTGTGATCTTGGTAAGGTTCTGCTTACAGTCGACAACCCCACCGCCAAGAAGAAGAAGCTCGTTTACAGGTTCATGGTCAAAGCTTTTTCTGATTAAATCTTCCCTCAAAGTGTTTTTTTTTTTTTTGTGGTTTCTTCTCGAGTAATTTTGAATCTCAGACTTGAGATTGTTGTCTGTGTTGCTTTGTTTGTATATTTCGGTGTTGCTGTCATATTATGATATATGGGTGTTTTGAAATATTTCTTTATTTATAGTTTAAGCATTGGATATATATATATATACACATATATATACATGCATCTTTGAAATTCTTACTCTTTTGGTATCTATTTGTATTGGCTATTATGTTCAGACGTGCTTTTTTTTGTGATTTAGTTTGTAATACGATTTTATTCGTCTCATGCATGATCCTTTACAACACACACACACACATATGTATATATATATATATACACATGTAAGTGTAACAAACTTTACTTCATTATTACTTTAAAAAAATATCGTTATTTTCTAGATCAAAATCTACACAACTCAAATACAGAAGTTGGTCCTAACTCCTAAGATTAGGGTGTATTACAAGTAATACAAGAACATAAGGAACAAGGCATCATTCAAGCCTTTACGCCCAATTGTAAAAACCAGAAAGAGAGAAAGAGAGAGTACAGAATACGGCAAGTCCCAAGATTCCAATATAAACACTATGAGAAGGACATGAACATGCATGCATATATATATATATAAGCCTACCATATATATACACACACACTAGAAGAAAGCTCTCATGGCTTACAATGTGTATGGTATGGTGTATTGTAGATGTGTGACTTGGCGAAATGCAAGTAGAAAGCCAAGCCGACGGAACTGAGAACGGCCAGAAGCCAATAGAAGTAATCCAGATGACCCAAGTTCAGGTTATTACCGAACCAGCTTCCCTCCCCATATCCGCTTGTGGTTCTGTCAATGACCGAGATCATAAAGCTGCTCACAAAATTCCCTATACCGAATATACTGAGGTACAGTGACAGACCCACACTCCTCAGCTCGGTCGGGACTTGGTCATAGAACAGTTCTTGAAGACCCACCATGGCAAATACCTCGGATATACCCAGAAATACGTATTGAGGAACCAACCACCATACCTTCATCGGGATTATGGCGTCTGGCGAATCTACAAGCCCGTAATCCTTGGCGATTTCGAGTCTTTTCATCTCGACCAGTGCTGCTATTACCATAGCGAGACTGGAGAGGGAAATACCGATTCCGATTTTCTGAAGAACTGTGATTCCGGTTGGTTTACCAGTGAATGATCTTGCAATAGGGATGAAGGCACGGTCATAGATGGGGATGAAGATTACCACGGCTATGTTGATGAATGATTGGAGGGTGGCGGCCGGAATGTCGAGTCCCGACGTGATTGATCTGTCCATTGTTGCTCCTTGCTTGGTGAAAAATGTATTGGACTGTCCAAACACAATGGCATAGACCAGGCAAGTTACCCATATTGGAACAAGCCTTACCACTGATTTTGCCTCTTCTACATCGGCTGTGTCACAGGAGTATGTTGGATTAATCAGTGCCTTGTTGAGGAAACTGCATCGTTACAGAAATCCATATGCTTATTGGGATATATGCAATATATAGGATGAGCTTTAAAGAGAGTAGCCTCACTTACCTGAATTGCTGTGAACTTTTGTGAGGAAGGAACCCGAGGCTCTCTTCTGCATCAGCTACAGCTGAATCAGGTATTCGCCAGTTCTTTGCAGCTGCTACGAAAACGTTACCAATTCTCACGAGAGCACTTCGATCTTCTCGTCCACTGCCGAACCGATAATTCCTAATTCCGAACAAGAAAATAACCAAAGCAACAACCATGGCAAGACATGGGATACCGAAGCCTAGTGCCCAGCTAAGGTTGTCTTGGATGTAGTTTGAGATGCAGAGAGTTACTAAGGTGCCAGCGCAAGAGCCGAAAAACCACCAATTGAAGAAGGAGCTCTTGGAATTGCACTCTTCTGGGTCATGTCTGTCAAACTGGTCAGCTCCAAAAGCCTGAACGCATGGCTTGAACCCGCCTTGGGCAAGCGCTATCAGATACAGAGAGCAGAAGAAGATGATTACTTGGAGCTGAGAAGGGCATGAATCCGCACCTTTGCAATCAGAAGATCCAAGAGAAGGAATCATGGCAGACAAGGTCAGCAAACCAAGCCCCTGTGGTTCATCAAATAAAGACGCGCACCAGTGCATTAGAATTTCTGTCACAACGCTGGATTTCTAGTGAGGATACAGATTCAACCCTGCAAGGTTCCTTTCAAGTCGTAATGGCGGATTTCTCACATTAGAGTCAACTTGTTCACAAGCTTCAATGGAGTAAGATGGAGAATACGTAAATCAACTGTAACTAGACACAAAGACTGATCTTGCTCTGCAACAGTAGTAGGCTTCAAAAGAACTCAGAGAAAGAATTGAAGCAGATGTGTCAAGCAAACAGATTTCTAATCATGAACCTAAACTTTCGTCTCAGGCAAAATCGAATTCATCAATTCTGAACCTTTTCGTACCAAGATATAGAGAGAAGAGGCGAGGAGAATTGTACGGAAACGGCCGAGGAATGAGTCGGCGACGAAGCCCCATAGAAGCGGAAGCAACAACGCTGATCCGTCCCAGGCGTTGACGTTCGCCGCCGCGGCCGCCGTCGATTCGCCCAGAGGACCCGTCAAGTACGTTATCAGGTTCGAGAGTATCCCGAAGTAGGCGAATCGCTCTGCCACCTCCACACCTAAGAGCAAACACGCAGAGAAATCCCTAAGAAATTGGAGGGAAAATCGAGAAAGGAATCTGGGGACTTACAGATGATGAGTCCGGCGGATCTCCAGCCGCCGGTGGAGGGGCTGACGGCAGGGTTGCCTCTGTAATCGACGAATCCGTCGACC